CATCTGGAGTTGTTGAGACCTTAACCCAGTGGATCAAAAGCTCGAGCTCACAAAGAACTTGAGTGACATCTGCATCACATTTAGCAGCGATTAGCAACCCAATCTCCAAACTGAGGAAGCTAACACGCAGTTCAAAGATGTTATTACCATGCAATAACCCCTTCCGATCCACAGAGAACAACTTCAAAAGATAAACCTGAGCAGACGTGGGTGGATTCACCAGATCAAAGTAGAATGGGATGGAGCAAGAGGGGCAGATGGACATTAGCCGATTCTTCAAATTCTCCCATTGAATGTTCATGGAGGCCGAAAGCTTGACAACCCAGAACACGACGTAGCACCATCGGCCATCGGTTGAGACATCTTCGCGTAGTAAGGCAAAACACACACAAGTTCAGCTAAAAGATTGAAAAGGCAAACCCAATCGACCAAGCAGCCAATTTGAAACCAAACAGGAGATAAGGAGCTCGACATGGTAATCTTCCCAAACATGGATGTTGATGCACAAAATGAAGTTTTGCAGACACTACATCAACCAATTTATCATGCAGAAACAGATCCGAAGAGATGTCACATAATTGTCCCATGTACAACTCCTAGATTCGATCTTTTGTAGACTCAAATCAACCATAACATCCCATCACGAGATCAGGAAGTAGAACAGATTGAACACAATCTGATGAAGAAAGCTTCGAAACTCGTTCGTACAGCTTACAAGAATAATGAACAAACCCTAAACTAAAGCATATACCAGGGCGAATAACGATAAGATCACGAGAAGATGAAGCGAAAGAAATAACGATAAAAGGAGGGAGCCGCCTTCACCTCCTCTGGTGATGCAGAGGCCGAACTCGAGGATTACGCGGCAGATATCGCAGCCGAGGCCGGTCTGGTCGGGGCAATTGACGGTGACGACGCTCGGCTCGCCTGCCCGCTTCGCAACCTCGATCACCACCACGTCGTCGCTCGCCACCCCCATCCTCGCCGTTCGATCCTAATCCGGTGGCCTTCAGATCCTCGATCCCATCAACGAAGCGAAGCCCGCCTCCCTCGCTACCACGGCGTGCTCCATATATCGAGTCCCGTGACTCCGCCCACCGTCCTCGACTCGCCGCGTCACTACGAACACGGGTGAACTCTATTTGAAACGTGTCGGTCATCCAACCGTGGGATAGGTGCTCCGTAATCGGCGTCCGACACGCGCCTGGTGGCAGCGCCTCTACCCACTGCGGACCAGGACGCCGCCGCTTCCGGTAGAAAGCGATGGCCGTTTGATGATATTTTAACGGTTGTCAGATGTGATCTTGATGGGAAGCGATAAGGCTTGGTCCCTACCGTCCGATTAATGATTGCTCTCCGACTGATGATGTGATGGTACGGGTTTCTGTCGAGACGTCATCCGGGGCCCATCGAGCGATAGCTTACGTGGATTTCAGTGTCACGTAGTGTTTGTGGGAGCCATGGAGCACTCTACCAAGACAATGTAGGATCGTTTATCCAATCGGATCCAGCTAGGATCCGACTAAGAATTGATACTCCTAATAAGTGCAGAAATCATAGCCCCTTAATGTAGCGTTAATCTTATTGTAGCCACATATATTTCCTATCACCATATGGTATTTTTTTCCCTTACATCACTCACGCAATTGGAGATAAGATCTCTATGAGAAGATGCTATATCATAGAGCCAACCTCAAATAATTAGCGTATTATAGTTTGTTGGTTGTTGTTATGGCCATTATTGTTGGAAAATTTTATATGCGACTGATATCGAACGAATATTCATGAATAAAACGTATTTAGGAATTTAGAGCCAACCTAACTCATGACCCATCCAAAAGCCGACAAAACGGGAACGAAAGATGAATGGACGGCTGGAACGATCTTTGATATTAGAGCTGGGTTGATGATCATCTACTATCGTTGCTCATGAGGTACGGATTCGGGTTCCGATGCGGATAAAATAGCAGGTATTCTACCCGTAATCATTCAAATTCTTGGGCTGAGTCTACAGTGAATGGCCCAACCCATGGAAGACCAGTTCGGCTCATCACCAACTAACATTCGTGAAGGGAGGGCGTTGCGGTTGCTTGGGGGATGAGGAGGCAAATAGCCACGGGCGGAGGGGAGAGCGACGAGGAAGTCCGATCGGTGGCCGGTGTTCTTGAGGCGGGGGTGAGACCGCAACTAGCCCTTCCTCATCGGATTCGCCATTATCGCCGGCCGGCCTCGCAGGTAATTTCATCCATCCTTCCTCTCCGATGCATCCAGTGGTTAGCAGATCTTCTTACTTAGATGCCTAGAAACGATCCAACTTGTGATGTGATCTGATTGAACGGTAGCTAATGCGAATGATGCGTGAGTTGAGATCAGACCTTGACATAGATTCACATCAGATGGAATGTAGTATTAGGTCGAATTCTTGCAAGATTAAGCTTTAGTAGAGATACTCGCGGTAAGGATGCTCGATCCGCAGTCGAGCATTTCCATTCATCCATTGTACTACAATGTTTCGGATGCCTTGTGTCCTTATTCTGACTGTAGGACGCTCATTAGTGGGATGACGGCGACAATGGTTTCTTCGAGCTCATCTCTTTTCCTAACAAGCTAAATTGCCCCACGGAATGGGCTTGGCTTATCCATTTCAAAGACTTCGATACATGACCAAAGTTTTCCTCTCCATTTGAGGCTTGCAGTTTTCTTGTCATGTGGCCCATTATTAGTTTGTAATGAGAAAGAGTTGATAGGTTCATGAATCCTTCTGTTCACCAGCTTTTTGCATCACTATGCCTTTCACCTTCATATTTTACATTTTGTACTTCAAGAGTTTCGATAGATTTTGCTCCTATTGTATTTTACAATGGACTGATCCTGAGTTGGAGAAGAAATGGAATTGAGTGAGTTACAACAACTGGTCAGGCTAACATTTTTTCTTTTTTGGTGGCAAATCAACCATTCTATCTGGTTCTGAAGCTTTAAGCATTTTATCTGTTGTTGGTCTTCCTCATCTGAAGTTGTTCATTTCTTTGTCTTGTGTTTGTATCAATTATGTGCAGTCTTGTCTCTGTCTTTATAACTCTCTATATTTATCTATTTTGTTTATCTTGGTCCACCAAACTGGTTGCTGTGGTCAAAGACTCAAATTAGAGTGCACCTTCAAGGGTAGAGCTGGTCTCTTAATGCTGAAGGGTGGTGTTGTAGGACCAGTTAATTGATAGCCACTGGATCTTGTCTGCTCTTTTACTGGATCAGATATAACAAATGAAGCCTTTAATGGGTTGACACTAGAAGGGATATATTCTAATAATGATTGTGCATTATGCTTGTTTGTGACATGGTTTATAATTGAGAACTTGTTCTGCAACCAACTGTGGCTTTGCAGTCTTGAATAACTATTACATTTATGCGACCACGCATGCATGAGTGTGATAAACGAGGGAGTTAATAAAAGATTGAGTTGTTTCAGTGAATGAAACGATTAACCTTTCAACCTTATCTATCTTCTGAGTGATTCAAAACATCATTTGGAGGAATACAAGTGTGGGCTATCAGTTTGACATTTTTTTGTGGTACCTTTTTCTTTTGGAGCATGCGATTTATTACATTTTCCTGATCTTTAGGCATGTTTACAGGTTTAGTCTGCTTCTGCTTAATTAGCATCTAAGTTTAACTTGATTGGTTCACATCTAAGGTATATCTGTACTGGGCTTAGAATATATCATGAAGGTAGAAGTTAACAGTTATTTGTTCTTTAACTTGAAAAGTATTCTGCTGGCCTGCCTTTTTCAATTCCCAAGCAAAGATCAAATGAAGCTCCAACAATCAATATTTTGTCCATGTATCTTACTGCATAGCCTGAATCTTATACTCGGAAAAAGACTGCTATCCTTTTTATAGCTTTTAGAAGTGTCTCTAGTTGATGTCTCTTTCTAATTTTTAATGGAGATGTTTTTTTATGCCACTCTTTGCTTGCTTCTCTCAAAGGGGGTCCTGATTCACAAGTGTCAAATTACCTGTTACCCCTCCTTAAGCTGGAGACCATCTCCTGTTGACCTCTAAGATTAGAAGGGGCCCCTCTACCAAATATTTTGCTTATTCGAACTCTTCCCTTCAAAGCAGGTCTCGTGTTTCTTCTTTTCATAGGTTTGGAGGGTTCATGAATCTTGACTTTCCTTGTCGTCAGCATGCCATTCCCACACTCGACAGTTTCCTCTTGACTTTTGTGCGTCATCTAGCAAAGAAATGGATTGATTTGATTATGGGAAGCCTTCTTGAAGCTATTACCTATGTTACATCAATCTGGAAGCTAACAAGTTATGGTGGACCTAGAAGTGAGAATAAACTGAACCTAACAGAGCCTGTCAAATAACTATTATGGCTAAACCTGTAGGCTCAAATGAGAGACTTTTACATGGAGACTTACACTATTTACTTTGAACAGAGCTTTTAATTTGGTGATTCAATTGCAAGCATTAGGTATGTCATGACGTGTAGCCTAAGTACCTGAATTTGATCTCCTCTGGTCCTTGCGTTGATCATGAAATCCACATGTAACTATTTCAAGACCAAATGAATGGACGTCTTAATCTGACATCAGTGAATAAACCTATGCCAAACAGTGGCTTTCTCGTGGAAGGATCCAGCGGTCAGCCTCCCGCTGGATTAGCTTTCACTAACACAAACATGGACCAAATGCTACTCAACTCTAGAAATGTTGATCTAGTACAACACGACTACATAGACTAGGATTAGAAGGGCTAATTACATATTAGTTTATATAATTAATTATATTTAATATTTCGTTTGTATACTTATAAAATAAAATATTTAATTTCATTTTTTCTCACGTCATCATTGATTATAAGGATCATAAAAATAATTAATTATAAGAGATTATATATAATTAGCCCGGATTAGAAACATGGATCAGGATCTGCTACCTCATCAGCCTGTATATAAAATTCATGGGTACTAACTAAAGAGGTTCAATACCCATGCCATGCATCAAACAGATTAGCTTCTTAGGAAGGCAGAAATAACCAAAGAAATACATCAGTGTAACTGTTCTCGATACATACTTGCATGAACATTCATCATATACTTGGTTCATTTTTGTCTTTGAAGGTACTATAAGTATTTCAACCGTTCTTGATATTTACCAAGTAATTGGATAGACACGACAGATTGGCTTATTCCGATAAGATGCACAAATGCCGTGGAGATGCAACTTCTTTGGAAATAGACTTGGGACTAATTGATATGCTTCTTTGATACACCCAGCCGCTGCCGGAAGTCATCCTCCATAAGCGGTAGGCCTTCACGAAGAGTAATCTTAGGCTCCCATCCAAGTAGTTCCTTGGCCTTTGTGATGTTTGGCTTCCTCTGTCGGGGGTCATCAGGTGTGTTCTCCACAATCTTCACAGGCACTGCTGGGTCGATCAGCTGATAAATAAATCAAATGGGATGAGATAACAGTTCGAGATAGAAACACTGTCGAGCAACATCAAGATTAGGAATTTCTGCAAGTGGCCATGGCAAAGTCACTGCAGGGATGATAGCAGGCTTTATGGAACTATTGATCCATGCTATTGGCATTTTCAAGAATGTTACTGACCTCCTTGACGGCCTCGGCCAGCTCCATCATCGTAAATTCACCTGCAGCATATACAATGCAATTAGACAGAGGAAATTAAACATCATACCACACTCTCTAGTACCAACAAGCCCCAGACCGCTGTTTCCGTTAGGAGACCAAAATACCATGCGAAATAGAACAAAGGAAATTTAAGAGTTACCTGGGTTCCCTATGTTAATAGGACCGGTGTGCTCTCCTTCCATCAGCCGGATAAGTCCGTCAACCTTCAGTTTTTTAGAAGATTAAATAATCAAACAACCAGGTTGTGATCAATATTTCGGTGATGAATTCTAAACATAGGATGTGTACCATGTCAGAAACATAACAGAAGCTTCGAGTTTGTGTTCCTGGTGATTGAACCGTTAGTGGCTCACCTCTGTTGGCAACAGAGTAGAAGGAATTAGCAAAATGATGATTAAAGACGAGACAATCAATGACACTGAAAAGTGACTATATATTGATTCAAAAGAATGCATAACAGACATCAAGAATGCAAGCATAATACCGAATTGCTTGAGCGATGAAGTTACTAACTACACGGCCATCATCAATGTTCATGCGTGGTCCATATGTATTGAAGATTCTAGCGATTCGAATTTCTGACAAGAGGATACATCAAAAGAAGGTAAAATACTTTAGCGAAAGTACCAGGATTATTTCAACCAGATCACTATCTAGCCTATCTAATGAACAACCCCCTCCTCCCAGCAAAAAAAAAAGAAGTTACATTTGGCATACCTATGCCATGCTGCCTGTGATAATCAAACATCAGTGTCTCTGCCACACGTTTCCCCTCGTCATAGCAACTCCTGACTCCTGTGGGAAAAAAGCCAGGAATTATAACAATTATAACACAATTGCAATGATCGATAACTCAAATGGACTCTTATCTATACTCGTGTTCTAGTGCTTTTAACAGCTAGAATACAGTAACACTACATGGAAAAATGAAGTTAAAAGTACTGTTTTAAGCATGGAAGCAAAGGGTACAGGACAATGCTTAACCACAGTATGCTCAACGGCTCCTACACATGATAATTCACATATGAGAAACACCACTATACATGTGTATTATGTATGTTCCAATTCAATATGCAAATTAGAAACAACCAAGGCCAATCCATATGTTAAAATAATTATATGAAAATTATAATGGACTTAAGTTAGGGAGTCCAAGTGTGCCCCACATATCAAGTTTATTCTGGCATTTATCCACTACAAGTTGCAAAGTTATATTTGGGAATTGAGATACACAAAAACGTGTCAGAAGTCTGACTGAAACAAATGCTCATTTGAGCAAATTGGTGGATAATCCAAGTGTAAGAGGAGAATGTAATGCATATGATTGCTGTAGGAGACAAACAGACAAAATAAAGATGATAAATAGAAGCATAGAGAGTAGAAATCAGATCAGAAAATCCATAGATGTGTATGGCACACCTATTGGGTTAACATTGCCCCAATACTCTTCCTTCTGAGGATGCTCCAGAGGATCACCATATACCTCTGAGGTTGATGTCAACAAGATCCTGTAAGATAAAAAGAGACATGGATAACTAAAACATGTCACCACAGACAAAGAGCATGACATCGAAAAAGAAATAACGAACAGCATAAATCCACCTTGCTCCAACCCTTTTGGCAAGCCCCAACATGTTTAAGGTGCCAATAACATTTGTCTTTATTGTCTGGTAAATATCAAATGCTGATGTTATCACTTAAAGTTCAGTATGTATGACATATGAATAGACAAGCAATCAAACTGATACAATAATCATGTAAGGTACGGTAAAACAAGCGATATGAGGAGGTTCTGTCCTCAAAAGCAGCTTTCCTCACATTCCATGGTAATGATACAAACCTTAACAGGGTTGTACTTGTAAAAAATGGGAGAAGCTGGGCAAGCAAGATGATAGATCTGATCAACCTCGACCAACAATTTCTCCGTAACATCTGGAAACAAGTGAAGCACAGAGGCAAATAATAAACATATGAATAGCACATGAAAATAACATGTCAACGATAGTATCAGCTATAGTTAAACCTGGTGAAGAACATGATTAACAAAAGCTTACTTAATATTTTTATGAAGATTAAGGATAAACAAATCTTATAAGGAGGTGACTAATCAGAGTGTTTTGCACATTAACATGATGTTGAGGTTCTCCCCCATAGACTTGGAGATAGTTTTTCCACCAAGAGATGCTAAAACATACTAATTGATCAATGATTTTCTCCCAAAATTTTGTTCACTTCAAGTTCCTATCAAGCTTAGATCCTTGAACTGCAATGTTCTAAGACAACACTTTATAGATCATCTGACAATGTCAGTCTCTCTAATCTTTATGCATTTATTAGACCAAAGAAATAAAAAAATACATATATAAACCATTAAAGTTTATAGATCAAATGTTCTCTTCTTGCTATTTGTTATCAACTACTATGTGTACAAAATCAGAACAAAAATGTGATGAGTTTATAACACTACCAAAAACAACTAAGTTGAAATATTATCTATGCAGGTAAATCAATCTTTATCACGCAACACTGCCCTATTGTAGTATAGTCTTTTAAAAATCAATAACCCAGTCTAATATTCAAGTGCAATGGAAAAAGGTGAATCTAAAGGTGTCGTATCATGTACATCATCCTTGAAATTTCCATCAAGAGAAAACTGAAGATTTTAATCCAACATAGACATAAAACAGTGACAGAAATTAATAACTGACACATTCATAGATAATTGTAAAGAAGATACCATGTCTAATAAGCTCAAATCTTGGATGCCCAATCCATTTTTTAAGGTTGTCTTTGGAGCCAGTGAAGTAGTTATCCACAACAATAACCTGGAGATTTCAGATATAAGGGAACACATAACTTGAAACTTATTTGTCAGATATGAACATTAATTCATATGGTCGATATATCTGTTTTATTTAATATGAATACATGTACATATACATGTACATGTACATGTACATGTATATACATATATATATATACATATATATACTACATATATATATTACATACACACACACACACACACACACACACACACATTGTGGGTAACATTTTATTGAAAAATCAACTTCATGAAGAAATGATAATCGGATCTCTTCCACAATTTGTGGAAGCCAATCAGGTCGGGGAGGTGCCTGGTTCTAGAATCATTGGAAAGGATCAAAGAAGTAAATAGATTTTATAACTGTGCAGTTTTGTCTATGTCTCACGTCATGCATCCTACTATCAATAGCAATGGAACATATTGATGATTTAGATTAGTTACTTCAGAAAAGCAGCATGCATATCATGCCAAATGTAGACTTTAGCAAATGAATATTGATCTACGAAGCTATCAGTGAGTGATCGGGCATATTAGATGTACAACATAATCACATCCTCTGATTCATACCTCATTCTTCTCATTTTCCATCAACTTGTCAACAAGATGGGATCCAATGAATCCTGCCCCTCCAGTAACCAGAATTCGCAGATTGGGCTGCAATGAAGACAAGGTTTCAGCAAAAGCATGATAAGCAGACAACATCCACAAACAAATTTCTGAAACAGAGATGAAATGATTGTAGAATTCAAAGATCACGAGTAGATCTGAACTATAAGCAATAATGACTTTTCATGTACATCACTAGATCTGAACAATGTGCACCAGTCCATGATAGTGGACTGAAAAGAAATGTAGCTCTTCTACCAAACCCGGACATTTTACTAGTTCCAAGTCCAGTATATGCTGTACATGATGATGAACTGAAAGAAGCCACAGCTCTGGTAGCAGGATCCATATGATCACAAACATGAAAATACACATCAGTCTTTCACCTGAAAAAATTTGGAAAACCGGAGTGGCGAAGGAGTCGGAGGCGGCCTCGTGATGGTATGCTGCTCGCCATTGGCAGTCTCCTTCGCCATTGCTCGGATCTCGCAAGAGAGCACCGATCTGCACCATTTGGTTAAAAATCCTCAGTACCCCAAGATCTCACACACAATCTTAGCAAAACTTAGTAAATCGTAACACATTTGAATCATAGATTCGAACGTTAATCGAAAATTACAGCAAAAAATCCCTAATCTTCTCCTTTCAATTCGACCAACAAGCTAAGCGGTGAAGAAACAGTTTGGATCAGAGGGATCTTTACGTAGTTGTAAAAGAACGAAGATCACCAAATCAAAGACTGATGCAGTAAAAGAGGAACTCAGTTGGAAGCAAAGAATCGATTCTTCGAATATAAGCAAAGTTGACGAGAGCGAAGCGCCACCGGATCCGGGATCACAAATCTAGATCTCGAAACCATCGGCCCAGCGATTAAAAGATCCGGTCATTTTGATATCGAGAAGAAGTACCTTGTACGAATCGAGTCAAGGAAACGAGACTAGTCGAGGTCAGAGATCGATCAAGATGAAGCCGCTCGAGGTCGGAGATCGGAGAGCAGAGCGTGAGATGGGCTTCGTATATAACGAGTAGTGGGATCGGCAAAATAAGCCGAAACTGAGCTGGCGCTCCGTCGTATGAAATGGCCGAGAAGAGTCACCGACTCAACGAAGCGGCCTAGTCATCAGTTGTGGTAATGGCACTTCCTTATTGGTCCAGTTTGTGGGCCAGCGAATTCTGACCAATGGAAAACCTACTTTTTCCAGTTTCGTGCCTGATGCCGTGCGGGCTTGTTGATACTTCGGGTTACCCTTTTCCAGTTAAAACGGCAAGGCAAATAAAAATAATAGCAAACTAAATCCAGCGTGACCCTATGCTGCGTCGCGAATAAACAGCCGGGTAACGAAGGCGGTGAGCGAAAGGTATCGCTCCATCGGTTGGTGCACCGCATTTGGAGAGGTCGGTGGATCCCATAGTGGGGGCGGGGCCCACATGGGCTCCACATTTAACAAGCGGTCAATTTGAAGGAGTAGATGCGAGCCTGATCGTACGCGTCAGCATGGAGATTGATCGCATCGCTCGATCGGGTTCACTCGAGTTCGATTCAGCCCGAACCAATTAGTCTTGGGTAAGCAAGGCCCGATTTGATCAACTACGGAGTCAGGATTTGACTCCCTGTCCTCAAACAGGGTTCAGCTTTCCTCCACCGAGGCCCACTTCCACATACCATGTTTGCGTCCTCTTAATGCGGACCCAGGTCCCAAGAAGAACGCGGATCCTGTCTGGCCTGGACAGCGATCCACAACCTCTCTTCGTCAGCAGACGTGGAAGCTGAGACGACCTTGCATGGCTGCCACGTTTGCTTCCGTCCACGTACTCCTTCCGTTTTGACTTTTCTATCATTATAAAAATAAAATATTTAATCTTATTTCTCTTGAAATATATCACGTCTATTTTTACCGACATAAATATCGTTAAAAATATAATTTTATTATTCTTAAAAAGATAATTTCTATAAAAACTTACCTATGCTTCTGGAATGCCTACCCAATAGTAACATTACTGGCAAGACCGAAATCAGGATAACGAAACAAGAGAAATAAGATAATATAAGAGATAAGAATCATCATCTACGTTGTTGTTGGATAGATATAACAAAACTTTCACAAGATAACGATCCTTCTATAAAATTAATATTTTTTGAAAGATAAAAATAATAAAATTATTTTTGTATCTATCTTTTTAACAGTAAAATCGATGATATGAGAAGAAATGAGATTAAATATTTTATCTCTATAATTATAAAAATATCAATATAATATTTAAAATTATAAAAATTAAAATACTAAAGATAACTAACTATAAGAGATATAATTAGTCCTGCTTTCCAACTCTAATTTTCTATTTCATGATTAGAAATATACTCAAATGAGATAATAAGTTTACAAATTTAATATATACGAACCGATAAGATTTCATTTCACTCATCAACCCATCTATTATTTTTCATGATTACAATCATATGCTGCAATGCCTCGAATTATAATATAATCATAAATTGATCATACAATTTAACTCAGCCTATATCAGAAAATCAAAACATGCATATCATAAATGATTTTTAATCATGTATCAACAACATGTATGCATTTTATTGAATGAAACGCAATCACAAGAATAAGAAACGAAAGTAGAAGGTGAGAGAGACATTCCTCTTTCTTTTCCTCTCTCCCTCTCTCTCTTCTTTGTTTACTGTCTTCCTTTTTCTTCTTTTCCTTCTTTTCCTTCAACTTTCTCTCATCTTCTCTTTTTCCTCTCTTTTCTCTCTTCTTCTTATGTCATATCCTCTAGTTTCTCTTCTTCGCAAATTTTGCACTCAAAATGGATTTCCATACCACAACTGTGTTCAACAACACTACAAATTTGTACTGATCAACCTATGCATGCTAGAAGAAGGGACTTCACAGTGAACAAGGTTTCCACCACTTGTTTCCTCCATAAACACATTGCGAAGGCCCCATCTTTAAATCTAAGAAGCATACTTCAACATGTTTCTGTACTATAATGAATAATTTCCACATGATCAAGTATAAGATCGATGTCATCCAGCAATGCTGCTACTAAGAGATGGAAGTACAGGTGGGATGATTAGCAAAAAGTAAGAAGCTGATTACATGAAGGGTGACTTATGAAGTCCTTTTATGGGGTAATCAAGCTTGACTTCGGAGCTCATGCTTAGCTTAAGAAATCTATCCAACATAGAGTACAAATTCATGAAGTGCCATGACTTGCAAAACGAATGCAGAAGGCCCATCTATTTGAACACAGCATACAAAATTATATGTACAAATTATGAGAAAAAAATATCTAATGTAAAGTGATCTCAACAAGTTGTACCATTTGAAGGTATATACTAAAATATTCTTTTGCTTCTTAATCCAAAAGAGCTACATACTGGGACTGAGGTGCCAATTCACAGATGAACCATAAAGACAAATGGTTATGCCTATAAGAGAGAGAGAAAGAATTTTGTAACTCTTAACTCAATTCCAATGTCAAAATAAACTTGAGAAGGCAAATGAAGTAAAGAGAATCTATGCCATCTTTCCTTAACTTCCCAGTTTATGTGCTGATTGAACATCACAAAACACCAAGTTAGTAAAACAAATTTGCAAGAGAAGTTCACATGACAAAGATAAACTTTCATTTCATAATTTCCTTTTTATGATACAGAGTTAGTAAACAATGGAAAATTAACCATGGAAACCAACCAATACATACTAAATTACTGCCTATTATGTCAACATAAGCTCATTGGCACCTAGATGAGGAGGGCGCCTACATACCCGTACCTCGTGTTCTTCTGGTCCAGCGCTATGTTTAGGTACCATTATCTCTAAAACAGTTCCAGACTCATCATAGTAAGCTTCCAGCTTGGCATCTTCAGGAATTCGTGTAGCTAGTGGTATTTCTCTCACAAATTCTCCTGGAGGGCAATGCTCCGGGGAAGGATCCGTGAGCCTGAATGTTCTATCGTGTCGCTTTATATAAGGCATCCGAGCAGTGCTGACACATGATATCTTTACTATTCCATGTGTGAGAGTGTTTTTCCAGGATACCTTCACCCGCTGCTGATCAGAGAAAGGTAAGCTCACCATGATCAAGTACCCTTCTTCGTCCTCATATATTGTCTTTGCAGCGGTCACCGGCCCACATGCATGTCTCATTACACCAGTAAACTCATTCACCCAGGATGGCTCGGCTGGATGAACTTCCATATCTTGAGGTCTATCTGAATAAGGATTGCCGGACATACAAATATCCTCGTTCGCCCCATGGGAAAAGAAATCCTTCCTGCGTTTGTTGTACACTGGAGAAAGATCCATACAATCTACACCTGCGTGATTTGATGGCTGTGTTGAAAGATTAAGACCTGAACCATTTAGCAATTTCCTCGAATTGGGATGTGATGCGCTCTTCAGAGGTGGTGGAGGTCTCTCGAGCTCAAAATCTGTGCTCGGAAGATTCCTCCATGACTCAAAATCACAGGCCTCTGGTGGGATCAAGAAGCTCAGATCCCTGCCGGTGAGCTCCATCCACTTCTTCCGATCGGCCTCTGCAACCACCGAGAGGTTCGGTGACCTCACTATTTCGATCCCGTGGACGCACTGTGGGTTGGACAACCCCCTGTATTGCTTCCTCTGCATCCGATGAGATCGCATAAATCCCTTATCAACACTGAAGGGGAACTGGGGCTCCCCTTGGCGTGAGTGCCCGTTCATGTAGCTCCGCAGCTGCATCTTTCCCAGGGCGTTCTCCGGCCGCTCCTTGAAGACCCACATGTACATGTTCTCCATGTCGTGCTGGACAAGGAACACATCGAGACGCAGGTCGGACTTGTCGAAACCTGAGACACCATTCGGGTCGCGGATGATCTTGCTCTTGGATTTCTCCACAAGCGCAGGCTTGAAATAGAAATTGAAGAAGAACCACGCGCCCCATATGCTGTCCCCTCGCTTGGCGCATTTTCGGGCCCCCGCGGCGCCACCGACGCACCCGCCTGCCTTGGGGAGGTGGAGGACGGCATCATGGTCGTAGATCTGGGGGCCGAGGCCGACTTCCAATACGTCCATGGGGTCATGGTCCCAAGGCTGCTGCGGAGGGGACTGGTCGACCAAGAGCGGGAGATTGATGTCGGGCGCACCGGAGAGGACGGTCTCCCGGCGCTGCTGGATGATGGAGAGCTCGTGGTCGCAGTCATTGTGGGCGGAGACGGCCACCGCCGGCGGGCCGGCGGGGTCCATGGAGAGGAGGGTGGATGGTTGGGGAGGGTGGTGGTGGTGGTTCTCCATGGACAGGGTGGTGAGGATGGACTCACCCATGCCGTGATCTCGCTCGTCCCTCTCCGTCTCTTCCTTCTTCTGCTTGATCACCTCCTCGCCTCTTCCGATCCTATCTATTTGGTGGTGGGGATCGAGATCCACAAGACCCAATACAAGCACCCCATAAAGAAAGCCTCACATTTCTCCAAATCCCTTAACAAACCGAATCAAATTCTTTGCCTTTGCCTCCAAAAGATCCAAACTCGAAACAATTTCTCCCACCAGAAACAAGAGAGGCGAAGGGGCGAACCAAAGAGGAGGGAGGAAAAGGGGCCGCAGCGAATAAAACCCTCGTTCTGACGCTGGGAACGAAGGGGTTGGAGAGATCTCCCTTAGACGATTACCTTATGGGGCTCAAAGGAGAAGGAGAGCAGCGTTCGAGACGTGGGGAAATAAGTCAAGCCTCGAGGCTTCCGCAGGGGTCGCAGCCGCCATCCGTGGAGTGGGTCGGCGAGGAATAACGGACACGGTGAGAAGGAGGAGCACGAAACGGTGACGGGGCCGTTTAAGAAACCGGCGCAGCGGTCGCAGCCTCCACCGGATGAGACCCGGTATCGACGTTAGTTGACGGTAACGGCAATCCTCTTTTTCTTTTTTTTTGTGTGTGGCGAATTATGATTTAATTTGTGTTGCTTAAAATTTCTTTTTCTCTTTTTGTGGTGAGTTATGATTGGACTTTTTTTGTCTTTCATCTGCGCGTGTGATCGATCGAGTTCATTTCGATTCCATGGTCAACAAGGAAAGGTTGACGAAAAAGACAAGCTTCTCTTTCTTTCAATAAATTAGAGAAG